TCGTCGCCAAGAGAAAGGATCATCGTGTCAATATATGTGTAAATTTCCAACCGGGGCACGAAAGGCCCCTCTCAGCACTCCTCAACGATCTGGAGTTGGCCATTGAGCAGGGCGAGGGCAAGGATGACGAAGAAGCACAAGGGAGCGGGGGCGAAAATGACACAGAGGCATATGAGGGCGAGGTTGAGGGTGACACAGAGGCATGCGAGCGCGAGAGCGTGAGCGAGGATGAGGGGGTTGAGGCTGAGGAGAGCGAGGATGGGAACGGTGATGAGAGTGAGGATGAGACTGGAAATGGGAACGAGGCCGAGGAGAACTAGCACGTAGAGGTCCCTTGCTATTTACATCGAGAGAATATGACTGGCACTCGAATTTATTCACCCAATACACGTAAGGAGATATGAGGGTATCAGATTCCATGTTTAAATGAGGAAGAAACGTTGGTCGGCGCATAGGCCAGCGGGAGCCATCGTAACCGGCTTCATGTAGGCCTCTGTCCATTGTGGCTCTTCTCATCCCCCTCCCGACGCCGCCTAGCTCAAGCACGATCAGGTCGCGCTTTGAGGTGCAGAAATTCGAATTGTGTTTCACCCTGACAAATATACCAGATGAAATCCAGCATTAAATTTGAGAGGGCCTAGATGTTTAGGCAATACTAAACTTGGCACACCAACAACCGCTAGGGCTGGGTCGGCTCATCCTGCAGCCACATTTCCATCTACATTAGCGATCTTCAAAGACCCGAGAAGGAAATGATAGAGAGAGAGCCTGAGAGTACTATGGGTTAGTCGGGCTGCATCACCGCCTCTCCTTGCTTTATATGGAGGTCAATAATATTATATGTCTAGGTTAGCAAGATCAGCCAGTCCACGACTTCGGGCGGTGTAGATGAGCGATAAATATTATGTTAAAAGGGGAGAGACAAAAGCATTTTTCTATTCTGTTGGTGGCGACACTGAGAAAGTAACCGTAAATAGGGTATACGCCGAGAGGTGCATGGTGGGAAAACCAATACGTCGTCTCGCAAATTGTCATTTGGCAAAGCGTCATTTGGCAAAGCGTCATTTGGCAAAGCGTCATTTGGCAAAGCGTCATTTGGCAAAGCGTCATTTGGCAATGCGCCATTTGGCAATACGCCCGACCACGCGCCCAGACCTGACGCCATCACACTTTGTGCAGTGCGACGACCGAGCCCAAACACTCTCAACAGCATGATTTCAAACACAGCAAATACATGGTCACCCATGGGTCCCCAGCGCCTCGCCGCTCGGCCCATTTCGTCAACGTTTGCGACGTCCCGCCACGCCGATGTGCCCGACAGACCGGTATCCCCTCTCGTTGGCTGCTCAACGTACGCTCGACAGCCCACGAATGGCCACACAATACTACAGATTCCAGGCAGCACGAATCGCTACTGCCTCCTCGTGATCAAGCCTACGCCACCCGGCTAGTCGGATCTAAGGAAGTCACGAGAGGGCTGGTAAACTTGGTCGTCCAGCATGTCGACACGAGCGGAGCATTGCACTACACGAAGGTGTTGGCAGCAGCCATGGCCAACGTCAGGGGCCGCATACGCGTAATAAACATACAGCCACATAAGGACCCAGTCGGAGGCAACGAGGCAGAAGCACACACAATTCAGAGAGCACACAGGATCTTGAGGGCACGAGGAAGGCAATCACATAGACACAGCCGATGGCTAAGGGGAGGCTGGTCACATAAGAACAAACCGATTACGAGCACTCACTGAACCCTCCAACGTTCTTCAAATAGGTCACCAGGTTCTGTAACTCGGCCCGGTTTTGGCGCTGATGACAACATTGCTCGATATTTAGATGGCCCAAATGCAGAGTGGTCTATAAACGCCCCTGACTCATTATCCCTGGTGAGGTGCCTCAGTGACAGAGGTACACCTGTATTTTATCAGTTGTGGATGTTGGATTAAGTCAAGCAAATGTTTTCAACTCACTGCTATAATGAGAGCAAGTTGTGCCAGTATGAGAGTAGGCAGTGGTGGAAATATTGGAAATTAGAAAATGACAATTGATATAATCTTCCTCCTCTATCAACCAATGTAAATCAATAAAATATCATCCATACCCAATAGAAACACTCCTTAGGGAAGATTCAAGGGCTCAAAGTATAATACAATAAGCCCGAGGAGGAAAGAAATGAAACAGCTTCAGGACTTCCTAGGAAGTCGAGGAGGTCTCTCCCCAGGAGCAGTGGTAGCTTGTGGCGTCGTGGCTTGTAGCATTGATGCAAAGGATGACAGTGGCCGTGCAGGGGCATCCGTCAGTTCAGTTCTAGACTGCCTCACTGATTGTGGCGAATTATGTACCCCCTTGTGTTTGTGGCCGAAGAGGTTACAGTCCATCGCGTACAGGGTGGTGCTCTCATCCACAAGCATTAATATGCTAGATGACCTTTGACCGAGGTTTCTCTCCATTGTCAATAAATATTTGCCCAGATGTCGCTCCATTGATCCAGACGGGTAAATCAGGGGAGAGAGCATCTTTAAAGCAGCCCTTCTCACCTCATATTTGGTCATTGTTGTTTCCAAGAACATGCTCAGTATGCCAAGACAGGACTCGCCTCGGCGGCAGCACAACGAATGTCGGCCGTCACCGATCTCGCATGACACCTACTGGAGCGGAGAGCTGTGGCAAGCATCGACATCGAGCCTAGTCAAACAGTCCCAAGGCTGAGACACACTTCCAGTAAAAGCTCGGCTCAGACAAAGTGGATGAAGGTAGTCTGCAGTATCAGGAAGCAAGCCGAGCCCCGATTTCCCATACGCGAGCATCGCATGACGAGTCCTTCTTGCTGGCGGTCCTGGGCAAGGCAGATCGAGTTGCGTGGCCCGCTGCCAGCTTAGGAATGATGGCTACGAGAACCATGCTCGGCATGCCAAATATGGGCGATGACGGATGGTCAGCTTGCAGAGAGAAGAAGGTCCAGCGAGGCAGACTCGCTTCACATGACAGGCGCGTAGAGAGAAGAGTATAAATATCAGGCCAGCCCTCGACCTCCTGGCGACAGCACTTCCCTCTCTAAAAAATTCCATTCAGCATCATTTTCAAGTGATATCCTCTCAACCGAAGCCCTCCCGCCGCAACATGTCCCCCTCTAAATCCACGAGGTCCTGGAAGCCCCTTTCCCCCACCGGAAAGCGCAAGCTTCGACGCAGGACCCCTCGACATCCTGTGATGGAGGCCCTTACACCCGAGCCAGATGACTTGTCCTCTTCACAGGAAGAAGTCACACGCGCAGAAAAGATGTCGGTGGAGCACCTTCGCTTGCCTCCAGGTTTACATAGCATGCTCAACGCTATCCTCCAACTACCGGAGGCATCGGATGCATCGCACGCGTTAGAGGATAATCTCAGAACAGCGTTGAACAAAAAGTCGGTCCAGGAACAACAAAGAATCCGATGGTTTGCCGACATCTTGCATCGCCATTGCGAGGTGCTCTCTATCAGACCCCCTCCGAAGTCGAAGGATAGCCATAGTAACGAGGCAGAGATGGATGTCGAAAAAGAAGAGGGATCATCCCCTGACTCGTCTCTTCAGCAACCTTCCTCTAATCAAGCACCACCTCTGCACAATCTTGCTGAGACTCCCGATGAAAATAGTCAGAAATAGGACAAGAAAGAGCCAACAAGTTCTTCAGTCCAGCGAACAAAAGACATGGCCCCTCACAACATCCCGGCGGTCGCACATCAGGAGAGACAAGCTTGCAAGTCTGGCCAGCCCAGCGCCCAGCACTCGGGTAATGAGAAGGAAGAGTCAGTGCAAGCTCTACCTAAGCAAATAGAGGATGATGTTGCCTCCAACGCCAGCACGGCGATCGCATCTCAGGAGGGAAAGGGTTGCGGGTCCAGCCAGCCCAGTACTCAGCCCTCAGGTACTGAGGAGGAGTCAATGCAATCTCAACCCGAGCAAATAAAGGAGGTAGTCTCTCACACCAGCACGGCGGTCGCACGTCAGGGGAGAAAGGCCTCGGGCACTGAGAAGCCAGTCCTTTTAGAGACGGAGCCTAAAAATACATCCGAGACGAAGGTCAACGCCACAGAAATGACCAGTGCCACAACCCCCCCAAGGAAACCGCTTCCAGGACGGGGAAAGCAGGCAAAGCAAGCCACATGGGACACTTTGGATCTGAGTCTGCTTAAGAAGCCTGTTCAGGAGCTTATCAATGCGAGTTGGAAGCGGGTTAGTTCGTTCTGCTCCCAAGACCAACGTATAGCCACTGAAACACACGACACGCTACTTTCCATGATTCAATCGAAGCATGAAGAGAATCTCACTTGGTCAGATGGTTCCCAGTGGAGGTCATTGCTCGAGGCAGGGCACAATGAACAATGGCAAGGGACTTTTCGCCATGCGTTGATTGTCATGGGATTCACTCGTTGGCATACATCCCAGGTCGGCATCCTTCGAGCCGATAGTAAGATGAACAAGCGAGAGGCGTCAAGTGAGGTGACTGACAGGATCGTCGGTACTGAACCCAAGGGTGACAAACGGAAGGAAGAATGGCTCCGACAACGGAAGAACATCTCTACAGATCTCGATCGAGGCCGCAAATGGATCAAGCTAACGGACGAATTCGGGTTGGGGATCTTCCTGGAAAATCCTTGGTAAGATACATGGAAAGTCTTCGATACTGAATAAGCTAACTTTAGCTAGGCAATTGGCCAAGGCTTCCAAGAATACCTTGGACACGCTGATAAATGAATTGCCCAGCTGTTCGGAGAGAATATCGCTTTTGCAATTACTCACAGAGCAAATGACTCTGCTTCAAGAAAATGGGAAAATGGATGAAAAGAGTTTCCTCAAGGGGTTGAGAAGCAAAAAACTACCACAACCTGTCCAAGCGAGGGACAGATCATGGATAAAGCCAGAGTTCCTCAAGGATCGAGCTACAGCCAATACTCTTTTCGTTAAGGATCCGGAGATTAAAGTCGACAGAGAGGCAATTGAAGCGCTCGAATCAACAGCCTGGCTGGGTGACAGTGTTATCCTGGCCTGCCTTCACCTTTGCGACAGACTACCCTTTGTACGGGTTGGTTTCTCTGTCCCGATCCACCAGCAACAGAATTCTCGCAAAAAGATGCCACATCCTTTTGAAATGGCGGTGAAAAAGATCGCAGCATGGCATAATGTAGCCGATGATTCGGCCAAACTGGTGTCATTCTTCCCGCTCTTTCATAACCAAAATCATTTCACCCTTCTTGAGGTCAATGAACGAGATAATTGTATCTACCACTACGACTCTCTTTCTGAGGTGGAAGCGGTCGAATTTGATAGTGGGGCGCTAGATGGTGAAGTCGGCGACGTTGAGGTTCATAATGCCCTCCATTCAGTTCACAGCCCATGCTGACAGTTCTGTAGGAAGCATGTAAAAAAGCGTTCCCTACTTTTGAGTACGTGAAGCAGGTATGTTATTATTTTTGGCCCGATTCAGTAGGCTTTGCTAACCTATATATAGGCAGGGCTACAACAGGATGACACCCACAGCTGTGGTGCAATCGTGATCAGGCATGCCCGTTATCGGATGATGGGTTTACCTGTTCCATCTGGGAAGCTCGATAGAACAAAGGCAAAGAAGTTGAGGAGTGAAGCACTAGATGTTCTTGCTTCAGCCTGGCAGAGCGGAAAGATGATCAACGCTCCGGAGCCATCAAAAAAACGAACAAATGTTGGTGAGGACAAAAAGGGCAGCAGCCAAAAGAAACGGAAAACCGGTAGCTAGGTAGAGAAGTGGGTCGGAGTGGTGTTGTAGTCGGCTGTTTTTCGGCTATCATGCAATGGCTCGCAACTTCAGACCGCCCCAACTCCAACGCAGACTTGCAGAAGTGAAAAGAGTGTTCATATAATTTGATATTGCACTATAGGCGAGGAATTGGTTGGCTCTGTGTAACGTTGTCACTTGAATGCAAGGCCTGGAGTTACGCAAGGGAAGTGTGATATTTGAAGGCCATTTATCAAGAAGGGGTGGTACACATGGATGCGCGCCGGGAAAATATGCTGCTCAACCCAGAAACTCGAGTGGTAATGATAATTGACTTCGAGCGCTCGCGGCTTCTCTCGCCACCCCGACGCCAGCTGGCCGCCCTGCAACCTAACAAGCGACGGCGGACTCAAGATACGAGCGGGAAGGTGAAGGCGGTATCTCGTCCTCGCAGTGTTGAGAGCCAACTGGAGCCAGGTTTCTTGCATGATCTCGCAGGAGTGAAAGGAGCGTTCATGTGATATAATATTTACACTGCCGGCGAGATATTGGTTGGCTTTACGGTAGTACGCGACTCTGCGTTTTGTTACGAACAAAGGTCTCTGTCGGGCCGTAGGAAGTCACGTGCAAAGGTGGATCGTTGGACCCACCTTGGCAACCAATAAAGACTGACTTCACTTTGTCGTCTGAGTGAAGACATAGTGAATTCCCGGTGAAACCCTCAGTACATCTACACATTCGTTTCAGTAGCTAGAACACTCCTTTAGACAGTTACCAATACAATCGCTACCGCTTTCATTGAAACTAGCTCCTTAGTGCTCGCACAGCATCAAGACAACCTGATCGCACCACTCAGAACACCCCTGACTGGTTACAATCCTGACCTACCCTAGACCCAGTCCAGTGTAAGTCATCCAACCGTCACACGTTTGCGGTGGTTCTCGTATGCGGTTCTGCGCACGCGGCAATTCTCGTACGCGACTTTGCGTCTAAGGTCTGTTTGGTGCACAACGCTGTATATGCGGTGGGTCTCGTACGCAGCCCTTGTGACTATTCAATAATAAGTTAAGAGATGTAGATAGTGCTGGAGAGGTAAGAGGCATCGTGCTAGGGAGACAATTGCCTTGATGGGTGCTCGGTTCAGATCTGATGAGTAATACTCTCAAGGCATTAGGCATGGCACTCCATAGATGTTATAGAGTACTACTCAGGCAGTTGGCGTAGCACTCATAGATGCTATAGATAGTACTACCAAAGCATTAGGCGTAGCACTCCACGGAGGCTAGCGATAGCACTGGAGGCGTGTAGTGCTTGGGAGGTGTAGCACTCGGGGGGTGTAGCACTCGGGAACTGTAGTACTCGGGACGTGTAGTACTCGGGAGGTGTAGCACTCGAGACGTGTCGTGCTTGGGAGGTGTAGCACTCGGGAACTGTAGTACTCGGGACGTGTAGTACTCGGGAGGTGTAGCACTCGAGACGTGTAGCACTCGGGAACTGTAGTGCTCGGGAGGTGTAGTACTCGGGAGGTGTAGCACTCGAGACGTGTCGTGCTTGGGAGGTGTAGCACTCGGGAACTGTAGTGCTCGAGACGTGTAGCACTCGGGAACTGTAGTACTCGGGACGTGTAGTACTCGGGAGGTGTAGCACTCGAGACGTGTAGCACTCGAGACGTGTAGCACTCGGGAACTGTAGTGCTCGGGAGGTGTAGCACTCGAGGGGTGTAGCACTAGGGAGATGTAGCACTCGGGAGGTGTCGTGCTTGGGAGGTGTCGTGCTTGGAAGGTGTAGCACTCCTCAGATGCTATAGATAGTACTACCAAAGCATTGGGTATAGCACTCCGTGGAGGCTATTGATAGTACTGGACGCGTGTAGTGCTGGCAGATGTAGCACTCGGGAGGTGCCGTGCTTGGAAGGTGCAGCACGGGAGGTGTAGCACTCCATAGATGCTATAGATAGTACTACCAAAGCATTGGGCATAGCACTCCGTGGAGGCTATTGATAGTGCTGGACGCGTGTAGTGCTGGACGGTGTAGCACTCGGGAGGTGTACCTAGTACCTAGTGCTCCTGAGGCGTGTACTACATATCGGTGATAGGTAGTACTAAGAGGGGTAGTATTTGGGGACGTAGTGCTTGAAGGATATTACGTATGGGCTATAGATAGCAGGACAGAGAGATGTGATGCTCGACTAGCACTTACGTAGGGATGTTCCAGAAGATTCACCATCCAAGAAACCAGGCATCCCTAAACCCACCCCCTAGCACTACACCAGGGGTGTGCAAGTACTGAGGAGTGCTCTCATGGATTGCACCGGGACACATCTTTGATGGGACGAGAAGTGCCTTGA